CCCTTTGTGTGCGTGTGTGCGTCTGTGTGTGTGTGTGTGAGCTTGTGCGAAAGTGTGTGCGAGCCCTCCTATTATGCGTACTACCGCAGACTGTTGAGTGCTGATAGCTGACTGGGCACAGCAACAGGGCTGATAATATTGGCCATACAGGCAGCCAGGCTTCCGGTTACATTTATGAGCAGAGCTCTTCCAAACTTTTTGCCGCATACAATTTTTCATTTTTAAAAAATATTTGGTTAATGCATTCTCATTACAAGTTTTGCCAGCTTTGTCACAATTAACTCGCGTGTCAAGGGGGCAGGCCAGTGCCTTATAAATGCTGGCCCTAATTTTCAGTTCTTTCTCTTTTTTTCTCGCTTTTAATTTGCAATTTAATTGATGTGGTTAATGGGCTCTGCGGCAAATGAAAACGGAAGCTGCACGAATTACATATATCTGCATTTCGATACACTGTTTCATTTGAAATGTAAAATGACACATCAGTGTGTGTGTGTGTGTATGTGTGTTGCCGGAAATGAGTTTGCTCACGTGACAGCGGTTTGTAAATCTGAAAATATTTGATATATAGTTAAAGCCGATTAGGAGTACGATATACATAGTACTTTATATCTATTAGCTATTCTCGTCGATTTCCCAAACATTAATAGAAATTTATTTGTAAACTTCTTTGAAATGTTTGGCTCAACTCAGAATATTTTTTTAGTATTTTCTACGCATTTATAAAATACTTCCGTAATATTGTGCAGCTGGGCAGCAAACCAGTCTGCAAATTGCATTAAATATGTAAATGAGTTTGTTTGCTTGCCACACGTCTATCGCCGAAATAACTCACACACACATACACACATGCATGAGCACAGATGGACAGATAGAAGCCATGTGTATAAGCTGTAATTATTCAGGCCGTTGGGACATTTGCGTGTGCATTTTGTATGAATTGTTGTTGTTTAGTCACCGGACAGCGTCGAGCTCTGCAGCTTGCATGTCTCATTCATAATTGATTTAAATCGTGGGGGAGCGGGCGAGCAGCCGGCCGGGCGTGTCATTTGACATCAGCATTTAACAATTTGAAGCTTCCGCATTAAAGTATTCAGTGAAATAAATTGTTTTGTTAACACTGCTCAAATATTTATTCAATGCGCCACTTGAGCCGCACGTTTATTAAAAATTAAAAATGTAAATAAGATTTTCCACTTGATTTATTAGGAAAGTTTCCTAAATGATTTTCGGACCAAGTGAGCAATGCCCTGGGTGCTACTCTAGCTCTGCCTATGGCTCCGGCTCGTTAGTTTTTATTGTTGGGCAACATTTCGCACATGCCTACAGGTCAGCAATTAGCACACACTCTCCAAAAACAGATAACACTCAGCCAGGCAACAGTCAGGGGATTGCCCAACTTTCTGGCACGTTTCACAGCAAACGCTCTTTAATGAATGAAAAGCATGAGGAATGAATGGATGAGCCAAACGACATTCATCGGAGGGTATTTGTACGAAATTGTGGTGCCATAGGCCAGAGGCTTAGACCGGGCTGTGTCATCAGAAGATATTCAATGCTTACTCAATTTCTTATACTAACTCCTTTAATGATCTCTTTCGCAGGAAACTGTGTGGTGCAGCGACCCCATCAAAGCGATCAACACATACGCGAGGGCAGCAGCAAGCGGGTAAGTGGCATGCGGAGCTTTAAATCAATATTTTATGCAAACGGCAGCACGTTCATGTAACTGTCCCAAATCGTCAACAATTTGCAGCAATTAACATTTTTTCATTTGAATAAAAAATGTCGCAAGGGTTTTTCTAGCACGGCCGCGAGATTTATATAACCTTCCATTTCGCTTTATTTCATTTGGTTTTATTTATTTCAGTTTTTTATTTTATTTTTTTAACACACAACGGAAGTTCAGAAAGTGTTATTAAAATGCATTTGCATAACTAAAAGTTTGCAAAGCGGCAGCCAACAAAACAAAACAAACGAAACAACTTTCTGTTGCCAGCACACAACAAGTTGAAGCTGTATGTGTGCCTGTGCCTGTGTCTGTGTCTGTGTGTGTGTGTGGATGGCTCACGTGCCGGCACGTGCCCAACGAAAAGATATTACCACATTTAACAACGCCATGAAAATGGTAGCGCATACAGAACAACAACATGTACGACATCGAAAAAATAACGAAAACAATTTACAAAACAACAACAGCAACAACAACAACAATGCGACGCGACTGCACTTTGGCCACTTTTCTTTTCACTTGGCCTCTACGTGCTGCTGGAGCAACAAGAGTTTCATGGCAAGCGGCAATGCAATTAGTGCTCGCATTGTTTCAGCTCGCAGCTGCATGGATGCACGGGGCGTATGCTTAATGTAATGCCTGCTGCCTAATTAGGTGCAGGTCGGCGCCAAGACATTTCTCGGATTTCATAAGATGTCGGCTTTACTTGCAGATCTACTCGTTGGACGACGCCGAGTGCAGCGAGCTGTGCAGCTGCGGCGACTCGCTTACACTCACCTGTCACGCCCTCTGCGTGCCCTTTGCGCCCTGTCGCACCGCCCTGGCGTTCTACAGTCACGCCTCACCGGCTTATCAGGCGTTCCGCGGCCGTTGCCTCTGCTACTCGGGACGTTTTATCTGCATGAAGCCACCGCTCGGGGAATACATTCTGCCAGGTTAGTAGTCTCCGCCCACCTCGCTTGATCCGTCCTCATTTCCATTTGACTTCTGCACAAAATTCCACTGCTTCTGCTGCTGCTGGCAGCATCGTCTCTGTTTCCCGTTGAGCACTTTACGATTATCGCTCGCGACAGGCAATGACGTTGCGTGGCTGACAAGTGTGTTTCATTTGGCAGCAGCCAGTGCTTCAGGCAGCTGCCCTCAGGGCGTGCATCAGGCCAACAATACTTTTTAAAGCAGCACCGAGAGTATAAGACATTATTCTCATGCTCGCCAGCCAGCTGCACTTTGTTTCCTCTTCGAGTCGACAGACACATAAAAGGTTATCCCCCATCTCCCTCTCTCTCTCTCTTTCTTTCTCCATCTCTCTCCACTTATGTGCATTTTGCATGCAGCATCTAGTGGTGTAAATCAATAGTTTTGTATAATGTTTTTGAGATTTATGGCATGCCGCTTCTTGCAGGAGGCGTCTTCTTGCTGCTGGGCTATAGCGCCGCCGATGAGGCACTGCTGCGACCCCACACCAATCTGGGCGTGCAGGATGCTGTGCGCGCTCTGCAACAATACGTGACAACCTACATTAACAATCAGGTAAGCCAGCGCACCTGCCAAATTCTTCAAGTTGCGTGAATGTTAATTGGATTCTGTTGTTGCTGTCGACCCGCAGACACAGTGCACTTTGACGCTGTTCAATATGACTGAGGAGAACATCATCATAGCAGCGCGGCTGCCGCACGATGGCAAGCTGAAGGACATCGATCTGCTGCGACGTGAGAAGGTTTGTGAGCTCATTCTAATAATTCTATTGAGCTGCTTGCAGCTCGCCAGTGCGAACGAGTGCAAATTGTACTCAAACGTATACTCTTGCTTATCTGGCCACTTGCAGGACGAGTGCACCTCGATACTGAAGACCATCAGTCATCATATCAACACCGAGCACAATGAGCTACAATCCCACCGACTGTTGAGCATTTTCAAAATGTCCGAAGTCGATGTCGTCTGGCCGGAAAGCACGAGCGCCGCTCGCAGTGGCCAGACAGCGGCCAGCCGCCTGGTCTCCCTGTTGCTGCTCTCGCTGGCCCTAACCGTCCGTGGCACGCTGCGTCTGGCCGTGCAGCCAGCGAGCAGCTGGCGCACTGCCTCAACATGACACGGCAGCTAAAGCGGCAGCTGCAGCGCTCACTAACTGTATGTAGTTTATTTGTAAGCTGGTGTAAGGGGCGAGGGAACGGGGTCAAACGTGTGGCATATGGGCGCTTTAAGCAGTGCTCACCAAATACGATACTAAACTAACATAAATACATATATAGAATATCTATACATTTAGAGTGTATGTGTCTGTGGGATGTCTAAATGTGTGTGTAGCTAAAGCAAAGAGAAAGTGAAACCTATATGAGCATAATACTTAAATATTCAGCAGCATTAAATGTGAGTTAGTTTAGTATTAGGCATCTAAACATATGAATACAGATACAGATACATATACATATACCTATACCTATGCATATGATATAATGAATTAGCGAAATGTGTTGTATACTTTTAGGGGCTAGCAGATATTTTGTGCGCTTTGTTGTTAACTTGAAGATGCGATCTTACTTTTTGATACGTACTTACATCTGTGAGGCATTAAGTACTTGATACACCATTCGACTAACGATAGCGATAATGATAGCGATAGCGATAACGATAACGATAACGATTAACTTTATATACTCAAACAAGTGAGGGAATGAAACTGCTGTCTATATAATAATTATCTTAAAATTAATGGAAATTATCTACAATTACTAATGCTAGCGTTTAAACTATATACACAATGATATTGAACGGCATCTGACAGAAAACTGTATATAGACTTGATATTTGTTTAAGGTATACACTTACATACATACACACACATATACACATATATTCTTACATATGTATATGGAGAGCACACAAACGACGTAGCTAGTGTTTTATACGATATAAGCTATACAATATACATATATGCAATACATATACATATATATTTGTGTACAAATTATTTACTTACTTACATTCAACATTCATTATCATCTCTGCAGCACACAGGCCAGAGTTAATTGCAGTTTTTACACATTATGCCCCATTATTGTTTTATTGTTGACACAATTAAAAACAGGAAGAAAATATCGGCATTGGCAAGCCGCAGTTCAAATACCCTTACTCAAGTCGTTGCTTTATTATTCAGATTTTACGATATTTGCACAATATTTCTTTACTTTTCCTCATCTTCATCATTATTAAAATTCCATAATCTAGATAATTTCCAATTTCAATATTTCACTATTTTAGCAATTGTTTCAAATTAATATAGAGCCCCATCTCCTTTTGCTAGAGCATACACAATGAATGGCTCAAACTGTAATTAAATATTTTATTAATTTATTTTTTGTTTTGAGGTGCGAACATCTTTTGCGCACATACATTTCCGCTTCTGATAATTAAATTTGGACATGTGAAATAAAATTGCTCATTCATTTCAAACTTTTCCACACAATATGCAGGCCTTCGTGGCGCGAAGAGAATTACGGTTTCATTACCAATTATGCTTTGCATGGCTGAGTATTTAAGTAATTATGCTTTTCTTACTGCGCATTTAATGTATTTGCTCTGCAATTCTGTTGAGTGTCTTCATTTGAAGAGGTTTCATGTCATGCAATCGTTTAATTTGGCCCATCCCCACAATGCTGTAAATAAGTCGGGAATAAATTACGTTCTATCAAATACTAACAGTACATATCAATGTGAACACCTAAATATACACGGAATGTCGTATAAACTAACCCTTTGTACATACCTCTATATACATATGTACATGCAAATATACACAACGATATGTCTAAGTATGCAAATTAAACTAAACAAAGAATAAAATATATATATAAATAATAACTATTATGATCTACCCTAGCAGCAGCAACAGTAAATCGAGAAATAATTGTACATTGAACCGAACTTCAGTTGCGCCTTAATAAACTATGTAAAAACTATTCAATTTTTGTGAATATGTACGTATAGAAAATTAGAAATGCGTAAATTCTATGAATATTAAGTGAGTGTTTCTGAGACACTCAGTAATAAACACAAGCAGACAAACAAACACACACACACGCACACAGACAAACATACACACTTAAAGTCTAAGCTTGACCATTTGAGCAGAGCGTTAAGCTAACGCACACACACACACACAGACACACATACACTCGTGCTCACACAGACACACGCGCACACACACAAACACATATGCATCTGATGAGTATGAACGTGTCAAGTGTAGAGTGTAAAGTGCGCTGAAGAAATGGTCACAATCATGAAAAAATGTCTTCCTTAATGCATATAGATAACGATATGTGTTACATATACATATATAAATATATATATATACATATTACATATATATATAGTACATGCTAACTTGATATACCTAAATATACTCGTATACCTATACTATACTATATATATGTTATAACGCTATTGGTGCACCCTAGCCTACGCTTCAGTTAGTGAATATTAGTCAAAGAGAAAGAAAAAAAACATGGATAATTCATATGAATATCGATAACCGACTATCGATTGTCGATTATAGCTTACAAGTTATACCACTGTTGACACTATTATAGAACAAATTAAAAATACCAAAAAGCAGCAATTAAATGCATAGTACATTACAATACATATGAGAGAATTATACATACAATATATCCTAAATAAATATACATATATATAATTAAACAAATATATATATATTTATCGGGAAATTGCAATGCACTTGAATAGTTCCCTAGGCCACCCAATTGCGAATTGCAAGCGACCTTTAATGAAGAAAACCTGCTTATAGAACAGCTTGTAGCTAATTAATATTAGACGAATTTAAAGATAATTATCAATCCCGATACCCAAAGCCGTTGTCAGACAGTTTTCGCATAAGTATCGTAAGTACCTATCGGCAATCTCTGTGGCAGTCGCTGCCCACTGCGAGCATTGCATTCAGCACTCCCAGTTAGACAACCAATCTGCATTGCAGCCTCCGATATCTGCATATATGTAAATCTAACCGCTTTAACGATTCGAATATTGTTTATGTCCCTTTTACTTTGTCATTGTGCTCTCGGGGCAGCACAGCACGAGGCGCAGCTACAATGTAAAGTACCGTTAAACGAAAATGAATATAAAAAGAGTCTAGCAAACCGCAGCTAGATCAATACTGTTAAGGAGGAAGCTACCTAGTCGAACGTAGCAGAAACCTATGTTAAATAATGGAAAAGAGAAAAACAATAAAACAAAATAAAATTGAAATGGAAATGGAAATAGAGAATAAAATAAATGGAAAAGTACATAAAATATGCATGAGGAATATCAAATAAGTTGAGGAATTCAAGTTAAGCCTAGCGACAGCAAACTAAACGGAACACAATATAGAATATAGATAAATATGCTATGGTATGTAGTACTTAAGTAACGGATAGATGTATTACTATGTCAACGGGCTATGTGAGCGGCAGTCCGTGAGGCAACCAGATGGTGGTCGTGGCATGTTTATAATGAATAATGAACAAGCATTGTAAAAGAAAAACACAAAACCAAAAACAAACAACAAATTAATAATAATAAAAAAAAAATTATGGAAAATAATAATAAATGCGCAAATGATTTGGATGAAGCAGAAGTAAGTTGTGAAAAAGTAAGTATCTATCTAAATGCCAAACACAGAAATACTTGTGCAAATACAATTATGCACACCCTTCACAAGACAGAAGAGATAATATATATTATTAATCAGCCTTGAGCTTGAAATGAACAAGCATGGAGTCACGTCTTTAACTTTTCGTTTTTCATCAAAGTTATTAAATCTTATGCAAATTTTAGATATCTAGAGCTGAGTGATATTTCCAGTTATTTTTTTGCTTATCAAGCTGTCAGCTTCTTTTGCCGTGCACTTCATTATTGACCTCCAAAAAGCCATACAGCGATCAAAACTGTGACACAATTGAGCCAAGCCAAAGGCGAACAATGGCCAAATGTTGAAAGGCACCAAAATACAACAAAATCAAAAAGAAAAGAACAGAGGAGCAGAACAGAACAGAAAAGAATAGAGGAGAGTAGCGAGAAAACAATTGAAGCGGCAGTTTGTTGAGAATAACCACAAGAAAAGATACAACAGCAACAACAATGCCCACAAACAACGGCAGCAGAAAACACAAAATGCACACAAAGCCAGCCTAGCTGCCTGGGCGCCGACTTGGCCAAGATGGAACAAAAGATGAGCCGAAGACAATGGCTGCTGCTATGCTCAAGGCGAGTCTTAAGCTCAAGTGCTCACACTCAACCAGCAGCACAGACAAATAAACACGCACACGCACACATCCAACTACACATACTCGTGAGAGGGAAAGGTCAATCATTGGAATGCTGCCAGTTAATTCACATACACAAAAGGGGCGCCCAGCCAACAGAGATTGGAACTGGCTATGGGGCATGGTCGGGGCACACAAAAACAGTTGCCAATTCGACCCTGAATGCTTGGACACGCCCACTTTGCCAGCTCTGGTGGCAGCTGGGTGGCTGAGCTTAGCATTTATACTTCCACTTAATTAGGTAATAAATGATTGAAGAAATTATGTCTAGACGTGAGAGCAATTTCGATGGCACGAAGGACGCCAAGAACCAGGCCAAGCGAACCAAACGGCAAAAGAACTTGACAAGCAGCCAATTCATTTGGCACGTGAGGCGTCAAAGTATTACAAATATGAAAACAGACACACAGAGAGGCACACACACACTCTTTGTGTGTGTGCTTTGCCAAAATTTCCGGCTCACAATGAGTAGAGGGAAATTCGAATTTAAATCTCTTCTTTCAGCGTGTTCTCTGGCAAATGCTTAGCAAATAATTCGATTGGCAACAAAAGCTGTTAAAATTGTAAACAAATTTTCTGGGGCCTACCACGCAGTTCGTTTATGCATGTGTGTGTGTGTGTGTGTGTGGATGGGTGAATGTGAGTGTGGTCTCTGTGGGTACGTGAATGTCAAATTAATGAATCGCAATGAATGCGACGTGTATTCGTATTTTATTTTTCCCGTTGCCAGTTTATTATTGCGTCGATGTCGTTGGCATAGGCAGCGCCATGTGTCACAGTCATCAGAGTGTGTGAGTGTTGGAGTCTGTGTGTGTGTGTGTGCGAATTGTTGCTGTGTCTGTATTGAGGTTGGGCACGAGGCCGCGGCGCACGCACATTTATCTGCCTGCCATGATTACGTGTTTGCCATTTTATCACTAAAACTGTTGCGCTTCTCTGGATGCTCTCTCTGTGCAGCCTGCTACTTACCTTACCATACACACACACACGTACACACACTTCAGTGTAATGGCAACTTTTGTCTGGCGTCCGTTTATCTGTCTGTTAGCTTTGTTTGGTTTCTGTTGCTGCTGCTCAGTGCTTTGTTCAGCTTGGAATTGCCTTTTATTTTCTGTTAATTGAAGTTGCTGCCATCACATTTTTCTTCCTTTTCCCCCCTCCACACACACACAACACACACGCGCGCAGGCATACAGTAGCAGGCAGTTTGTGTGTGTGTGTGTGTGTGTGGGTTGATTTTATTCCTCTTTTTTTTTTTGCTTTTATTGCCGCATCTACTTTTTCCCTGTTTTTGCAATTTTAATTAAAAACGTGTTTATAACAGCGCAAAATGCTGATGAGTGAGCAGAATAATTTATTTCAAATATACAAAATAAAATGCCAGACTAATACAAACAGCAATGCGAGAATGTGAGTGTATGCGTGTGCGTGAGAGAGAAAAAGAGAGAGAGAGAGAGAGATAGAGAGTTGGAAGCGAGGCAATTAATGGCCATATTCATGGCAAGCATTTGTAGCCGTTTATGAAGTTAACTTTTTTATGGCTTATCGCAAATATCGACTTGCAACATTTTATTAATTGCAATTTGAAGCTGGCAGCCCGAAAGTATGCAACATATTTCAGCGCCTGCTGAGCGAGAGCGAACGTATCCTGTCGAGTGGCCCATGCTGAGGCACATTTATCCATTAGAAATTCCTTTGCATAACACTGAGGGAATCTATATTGCCATGCAACCGCAGTGGCACTGTGGAATATGCGCTGCAGCACAAAGAATTCAATTCAATTGAAATTCAAATGCGCATTGCCAGCACGCCAAGCCATCGCAGGGGGCAACGGCTGCACTCGCAGCATCCATTATTTGTCGATTTTACACATGGCCGTGGAAGGAAGGAAGGCGAAAAAGCAAAAGGTTCCTTAAGCACAGACTCGGTATGTCGGAGCTAAGAATCGAAGGGCCTACACGTCTGCAAAGATGCAACTGTTGGCCAATGAACAACGGGCCATTGCCGATAAGTTGGCTCGGGCCGCGCCCCAAAGTGTGAGTTGTGCAATATTCAATTGCAACGAATATTACAACGCCATTTGCCAAGCTCAGCACCTTTGGCCAAAACACGACCCAGACATGGGCGAGCGAAGCAAACAAAGCATTGGAGCAGCAACTGCAAGGCAGCTTGGAGCTCTGACTGGGAGCTGGTAGCTGGAAGCTGGAAGCCAAGAGCCAGCCATGCATCATTTGCATAGCCCCATGGGTCGGGCTGGCTGCCTGAACAAAGCTGCGAAGCGAGTCTCTGGACATGCAGACAATATAGACAGACAGCCGTTCGATGCGCTCAAGTGTAGAAAGGCAAAAAAAAAAAAACACCAACACAGACACACACACCAAATATATGAGGGTAAAGGGGCCTTGGGTAACCGGTAACAGCAACAAAAGGATAAAAAAATATAAGTAGAAACAAAAAATGCTAAGGAGCCAAATACTTGAACATTTGCAAACGCGGCAAAGTAGCGAAAATTTGCAAATTGATTGCATTCCAGTGCCAAGCCGAGCCGCTGCAGCACTGGAGGCCAACACCCCGCCGTGATATAAAATCTTCGAGTGCAAATTTTGCACATTCTTGTTGGCAACTTTGGGAATTTCTCAAAATGTTCGCTTTTGAGGCACTGCCAATCGAAAAGTCGCTCCAAGACTCAGTCCCCACTCCCCATGCCACTCATATCCGATGTTCAAGCATATTCAATTAATGTCAAAAGAAGCGACTGCCTGCCCATCCTCGCGGTAATCAAATTATTCAAATCTGGAGCGCAATTAGGAGAGTGAAGCGCGTAGCAGCTTTAAGTCAATTTGTGATGCATGACAGACAAAATGAAAAAAAAAAAGAGAAAGCAGGAACAACGTCGACGTGCGTCTCGATGTCAACGTCAAATGATTTGATCATGTTTTGTGCATCATTTGCGAGCTCATAAAACATGCAAGCACTCTGTCGCAGTTTGTTGCCCATCATGCCGGAAAAGAGAGGACCCAAATGCCAGACAACGAATGGAATATGAGCGCAAGCGGGGGAGATAAGGAGCCCTGTTGGCCAGCAAGATGACACCTAGTGCAGAAACATGCCTAATAAATAATTCAGTGCGCAACAAGCGGACAACAAGCCCACTTGCGGTGCCAAACCACCCGTCCAGCCGGCCAGCCGTCCAGCCGGCCAGCCACTCATGCCAGCTGCTGTGGCCGTGCGGCTCTGACAGCCATGCGTCCTCAATATTAAGAGCAGATTGAAATCTATTCAGATGTGTCGGCCCAAGTGCTGCCTGCCTGTGGGTATTCGAGCGTGTCCTTGATTTCAGTTAACGTATGTCCATCTGTCCATCTGTTCATCTGCACAGCAGCAGCAGCAGCTCAGCGTATGCGGCTCATTTGTTCGCCGGCGTGTGCCGAGGATTTTCTCTAATTCAAAAGAACGATACTGCGATACTCCGATACCTCTGGAGCTTGGCAGGTCTCTCTGGATCATTTTGGCAACATTTTCTGCTTTTACCACACAACACGAAACGCACAATAAAACGAAAAACAATGCAATAATCAAAGAACACGAGAATCAATAACTGCGACAAGCAAAAGCTTTTAGCCGGCCAAAATTGATGAATGCGACGAGCACGTCGAAAGTTATGCTCGAAGCCATGTTCAAAATCAAGTAGAATAGACATACAGGTAGAGATAAATACCATTTTATTAAATAATGTAGCTGCAGAGGTCCGCCTGTTGTGCCTTAATACACTGAATCATATATTATACACACATATAATACATATTTTATGCGGAATGAAAATTATTTTGTTGGTTGATGCAGAAGTCGAGCGGTGAAAAATGAGGTAGCAAAAAATCATTTAGCATAATGATTAAAATAAATCATATTATAAAGCATTTTTTGGCGCCAGAGCGAACGGTGCGAGCGGCATAGAAACGGGCAGACATATGCAAGAGCTGGCATTACGTATACGTATACGCCACGTAGCCGGCCACGTTGAGCACAAACAAATGCAAACAGACAAACAAAAATGATTTATAAATTGGCACGACGTGCATAAAATGCTGAGCACAAAAAATTTCCACTGCATACGTAATGAGGCTGGAGACCCAGCACACATCTACGCCCCAAAACGAAGACCCACTGAACACAAGCAGAAGCCCAAGCCCGAGTCTGGCTAGCTAGCTGGCTGGACGATGACTTCCGAATCATGTGAGTGTGCAAGAAGTGGCATTTAAATGCGCGCATTTATTCACTTATAAATGCTAAAAATAAAAATATGCTAGGGGAATATGCTAAAGAGCCAGGCCAACGTGGAGCGGCACGGCGACGCGACGAACGAGTCGGAGCCAGACGCAGAGCCAGAACCCGAAAAATAGGGCCAAGTATGGCCCACAAAGTGCACCAAAACTTTTCTAGAAATATGTGAGAGTGTATGTGTGTGTGTGTGTGGCTCTGCATGTACTTTAAATCTCATTTGGCCTGCAGCGGCTCAGGAATTTGGCTAGAGCCAGAGTGAGAATGAGAAAGAGAATGAGAGAGCGCGGGCGAAATAAGTAGCATAAAAAAAGGATATTTTAAGGCTTGCGGCTGTTACGGCTACCATCAGCCAGACACTATCACTATGCAACGCAAGCCACTTTACACCACATACAAACACACACACGCACACACACACGCACACAGACTAGCTTACATAGCCGCTTTACGCACGCACATATGCCATGAATTTCATTTAGTTTGTACGTGTGTGCGTTAGTTAATATTCCACACGTATCTATGTTGAAGAGAGATAGAGAGAGAGAGTGAGAGAGAGGAAGAGTGTGTGTGTGTGTGTGTGTGCGTTTGTTTGTTGCCTTTAAATTACTTCAACCATAAACTTATGCGCATGTATGCAATATGCTGCTTATGTCACTTTAAATGTGCTGCGTAATCTGTTTTAATTAGACTTTGGGCAAACTTTGATAATCCAATTGCAGCACAAAGCCAAATGAAGCTTTTTATAGTTTTTGACAAAGCGTCGAAATGTGGCCAACATTTTTTTAAGTTCACAATTGCAGCAATATTTTAGCCCGCTGCCGCCGCTGCTGCTGCATGCTTCTTTTAATGGCAGCCATGCGTCTTGGTGGGTAAAAATCTGAGCGAGCGCTGACAAAGGCAGCAAAGACGCTGAAGTCACCCACCGTGAAATTTCGTTGCATATTAAAAGCGTGTTCGCTGCTCGAGCTGGAGCGGGTTGCAGCTTGTTGATGTTGTGTGTGTGTAAGAACGGAGCAATGATGATAATGCGGCACACGTGCAACAAAATGCAAGCACTTAAAATATTTATAAGCTACAGCAGGTAGCAACGGCAAATGCAACATTTTGGCAGCGTCAGATAAATCACAGCCGGAAGGCAGTCAGCGCGGATGTTGGCTCGTTCAAATGAAGAAAAATGGAACTTGCAGCAGTGCAGGCAGCAGCTTGCCGGAATGTGGGCGCTGCAATCACTGCAACGGCTGCCTGGCCATAAACAAAAGCTAGTGCCAGCAGTCGGGCAACAATGCTGACCTTGTCAGGCCACAGCCAGCGCCACAAACAAGAGCGAACAAGAAAAGCGAAACTTGAGAGCTTCACTTTGCTGATGGAATTTCGCCAAGAGGCATGCCTCAAGATTGATGTGCTAAAAACCGTGTAAAGGTCAAATTTATGCGAGAAAAGTGTCAAAGAGTGAAGTAGAGAGACAGCGAGAAAGCGACAGGTAGAGAGATAGAGAGGGAGAGAGTTAGAGAGAAGGAGCGCGAATAGGTGACAAAGTGCATGATGATGCGTTTAAATATTTGATGGCCCAGCTACGCGTTGGGCCGCATAAACATTTGAGTGCGAAAACGTGTTGAGGTTCCCTCACCCAAGCCGAGGCCGAAGCCGAAGCCGAAGCTGAAGCTGAAGTGCCTTATTACAGAGCGCAGCCCTTTGGACGATTGCCGTGGCAACGCTCAATTAGTTGGAGCCACTTTAACTACATGTAGCCAGCGGCCAGCCAGCAGGTCTTTGCATTTTAAGACCTAAGCCCGGAGCGGTTGCCATATCAACCACCTGAAGATCCAGAGGGCTGCCGTGTCCTCGTTTCGTTTCGTGAGCTTATTTACATGTCAATTGTAAATTGTTTTCCGTGTTTTAGCACACTTATCGCTTTAGTGTTGTGTTATTTTGATCTCTATCGGCGACATTTTCCTGTTGGCTGGAAATCGAAAACATGTCAAGCTCTGCTCGGATATTGATGCTGAGGCTCGCGAATCATGCTGGCTGGCTGGGGCGGTATATTCCCGAGATGCTGCTGTGACAGACTCTGCCGCCGACTCGAAGTGGCAGCTGACAGTCCGTGGGCGGGAAAATCACTTGGCTCGCTTGGAGTTATCTGCATGCATACATATACATATATCACATGTCAATCTAATTTCATTTTTACGCCCCAGCAAATCGGCAGCGGAGGTCTACAGTGAGGCAATGACAGCATATGGCCAAAGATGCCAGCCACTTGGCCCACTGTGCTCGAGCAATTTTTTTGACAACTTGACAAATCGTGTATAGACATTTGTTGACGCCGCTCACACACACACACACACACACGCACACACACTAGCACACTTATGGCACGTGACTATGTGAGCATGTGTGCCAGAGTGTGGATGGGCTGGGTGGGCTGTCTTATCCAATTGGGGCCAAGGCTTCAAAGAGCAGCGGGGCACACAAGCAGAATGCAAAGCTAAATCAACACCAGGCAACAACAACAACAGCGACAACAACAACAACTGTGATACGGTGCTGGCAACTGTAAAATTCAATGAATTGGAAAATGTTTTCCTAGCTGTTGTCATTATTCAGTGGCAGACATGCAGGTGGCCCAAAAGCATTGCCTACTTTCGAGGGCGCGCCATGGCCCAGCTGCCGTGGAACAAATCGTCAGCTAAATCTGGCTTGACATATAAAAATGAAACAAAGGCATTCGCCAACTGCTGCCCGTGGTGCCAGGCGACGCCTGTCCCAGTTAGAGCACTCGCAAATTGAATAATTATGTGCAAATACTCTTGTATGCAAATTAAAGCAACAACAACAACAACAACAACAGCAAATGCAAATAAAAAAGTGCCAAAATCAAATAAATAAATATGTATATACATATATATAAGGCTGTAGCACAGCTGCAGGCATGTGAGCATAGAAATTTCATTAAATACATTCCAGAAGAGCTAGCTAGGCTTTAAGCTGGGCTCGCTCGAACAGCAGATACCCAGCATACACATTTAGAGGCAAGTAAAAAATAAAATTGGCTAGATTACTCACCGATAGATAGTAAGTCTCTATCAGAGAGTAATCTAGCTCAGCTCAGCAAGCAACTCTGAGCTAAATAAGGGCTAACCTCACATATACTATCAAATACAGATATTCTTTAGGCATTTTCTTAAAAATACAGCCCCTAAATTCAAGAGGCAACAGGGCCAGAGGGGGAGTCAGTCAGAGGCGGAGGGAGAGAATTATGGACGGTGCGCGTTTTATGAAATCATTTCAAACGCCTTTGCCGATTGCGCCGTCGCGACGTCAGCGTCACTTTGTTTATTACTTATATGCCCGCACACCCACACACACACACACACACATGTACACATGGCTATACATTAGCTGAGCAACACGCACACACGCAGGCACAAATTTATGCACACAAATAAAATGAAAGTAAATTGATTTATCTGCCGCACAATACACAGCACACACACCACGGCGGGGGAGGGGGAGGTGGCATGCGAGGGTCGTCCTTGGTACCGCAGGCATTCATTGGGGACACATTAGCCGTAAGACAGACGCCAATGCTGTGACCAGCACACGCACACCCTCCAGAGCGTAAATGCAAATACGCTAATACACACAGACACAGACACACACACATCCACATACACACATATACATACACTAACACCCATGCTAATATGCTCGTAAAAAGGCAATTTCCACAAATTCGACGCACCTCCAGTGCTCACCTCTGCATACTTAAATATTTACTGTATTTCTCTTCTGTTGTTGTTGGTGTTGTTGTTGTTGTTGTTGTTGTTTTTCTTCTTCTTCTTTTTCTGGCTAACTCAATTTTCTATTGCTAAATCTTGGTCGTCTTGGCGTGATGAGGTTCCGAACCTGCTGCCCTCTGCCCATACGCCCAGCAGCAGCATATAACTTATGTTATAGATACGCACGCACACACACACACATATGTATATACACGCAGATATGTGACTCAGTCCCATTGCCATTTATTTCAATTTTTACAACTCAGACGCTCGATTCGCAGACAGAAACGTGTTTTCGCTCGAATTACGCTTGAAACTATTCGCATTGAAATCATTTCGTTGCAATTGTTTGTAAAATACAATAATGTAAATAATATGTTCAGTTTAATTCAATATACATATATTTTATGTACGTATTTTACGGCACTTATGAAATTTAAACCAATGGCGATTTAAAGTTAACGTAATTCAATATTTTAATCGACTGTTTGAGCAATAATTTTCAATTAGATAATCTTATTATCATTTTATTATATTTATATTAAATAATAACTCTCTTAGCAGTATCACTTAACAAAAATTTTATATTGTACTAGAAAACATATATTTGTAAAATTAATACAAATATTTTTAATTAGATTAAAATATTAATATTTTTAAATTTTATTCCCATCGTTTGCTCTAATCAGATAATTTAAGAGATTGAAAAATTAATCCAGTGACACATTAGAAATTTTCCCATGCTTCTTTTCTTATCAGCATAAGTAAATCAAAGTTTTTATAAATTTAATAAAAATCTTTTCAAATAAATTTATTAAAATTAATTTATTTTAGATATTTATCTAAGCTACTCTTGCAGAAAAGGGAATATAAGAAATTGAAAAACTAATCCAGAGGTCTTTTAGTAACTTTTGCAGTTTCTATAAATATTTGATTCAAGTATCCCAAAGTAAGTACAAGAAACATTCGAGTTTTAAGTCGTATTACACATGCAGTCAAAGTACTCGAAGTAAACATGACACCTCTTCATAATAAATTTAATCACAGTTCGGAGCAAGTAAAGCCAAGTCGGAATCCAATAGTCAAGTCGGCGCGCGAGAGAAGGCAAACAACGACAACATACTAACAAAAGTCAAAGCTATTGTAATAAATGACAGCAGACATCTGCAAATTTGGCGCCGAGTGGGTCGCTGGGTGGTTGGGTGGCTGGCGGCTGGCGACTGGTGCAAAGGGCAGCCGCTTGGCAAATGCCAGCACTGCAAATCCTCGACTCGAGCACCAAGTGATATCCACTCGAAATGGCATGCCTGGGAAATTTTCTAGCATTTTAGCATCATTAGCATTGATTTATGATTAAGTTCAACCTCAATTTTCAGTTAAATCGTTTTCCATGGCTCGGCGTGCGCTGCCAGCCCGTCAGCTGGAGACGGCTCGCCTTGTGCTCCGGATTCGGATTAGGGCTGGGGCTGGCGGTGGTGGTGGAGTGGTGCTTCGAGCTACTTGCTGGTGGGGATGGTAAGGTGGTGCTAGAGTTCGGCTGTGTGGGAGGCGCAAACGTCGAAAACAAGAAATCAGAAATCAGAATAGCTGCGATTCTCACAATCGGACGCACTGATGTGTATAATGATCTTTAGCTGGGATTTAAAGCGGATAATAAATAATAAAAATACATGGAGCCGGCAACAAAAGGGAGCGCCAAGTGGGCCAGCGCCTGTCTAAGGCATCGACTGGGCTGTGCGACTGGGCTTAGTGCGTAAGTCGGCTCGAGCTTTATAAAAAATGAATTGTTAAAAGGCCGCACGACGACATACCTATAGAGGAATATAAATGTGCGCGGCTTCAACTAATCAAAAATGCTTGAATAACGCATTTAGTTGCATGGCCAACTCCATTAATAGATGGGCCCAGACCGTGGTGGCCGGACAGAGAATTGAAATAAATAGATTCTTTAATGGCGAGTCAAGAGTAGAATACCAACTAAGTTAAGTGTAATAAATGATGCCGCCGGGCAGCAGAGTCGGCCCGAGTCGAGGCTTTTAAATTGAGCCGACAAATGCCGAACAAATTTCAGTGCACAACACAAATCAAATGCACAATACAACTTAATAATATTTCCGTTTGTCAGACACGATTTCCGAGCTCCGGGAGCAGGCCGTGCACACATTCACATTTGAATAATGCTGTTCAATAAATGGAATTGCCTTCATTCGGTTGGCTTCCCGTTGCCGTCGACCCTTTTTTGCGCGGTGATGCGCCTTCGCTGCCACCGCCGTCGCTGCCTTGCCGGCGCACAGAGGATATTCATATGGCATGGCAGCGCTGCTCTCGGTTCAAGCCAAATGCCAAATGCCAGCAGCTGCAACAACAGCAGAAACAGCAGCAGGAATGCCATTGAAATATGGCATAAGTTAAAAGGATTTATTAACTCTTAAAAGCATCGCACAACAAAGCAAAAAGCCAACACGAACGAATCAAGCAGTTCCCACACACACACACACACATATACATATATATAAAATAAATAAAAATACAAATAACTTAACTGACATACTCTAAAGGCAAATCGTATATCATATATTGTTATTCATGTGGCTGTATTTATGGCCTTTTCTCTGGCATTGCTAACAAGCGTCGAGGACGACATCAGGCATCAACTGGCCGAGTCAGTCTCAGCCACTCGGCTTTAATATCCATTAAAGATGGCCAATTTGCATATATAAGAAATTGCACTCATTCATTTGAAGGCATCTTTAAGCCACAGTTCATGGCCCGAAGTCTTTAGCAGCATAAATATTTGAGCAGAGATGATTTAAGATGACTTTTAATTGATTGCATCTTCTTGATTTAATTGATAAGGAGCTTACAGCTAATTGATGATCGTAAGCCGTTATTAGCAACAACAGCTATTTGGCTTAAGCCATGCTTACACCGACTCTCACCAGCTAACGGAATGCTTATGCATAAATTGTGCTGCCAATAAAAAACGAGAATATTGCGCACTCACACAGAATGCAACGAAATGCATAAATTTGCCTTATGCTTATGGCCATGGCAACAGCAGGAGCCAAGGCACCGACTCTGAGTGTGCCTCTATCTCTGCCTGTGTCTCTGACTCTGACTCGAAATATAACAATACATAAGAGTTACTTATGGAACTTTTGCTTCCTCCTTTGAGCCACAATTTAAATTAAACACTTTTTCAAGCGTTCGCTGTCTTTGTGCTGCGATTGTTTCAGCTGCAATGAAAACTCTTATTTGTGAGAGTGTGTGTGTGTGTGTGTGAATGCTCTTCTCATCCGCTTCTTTTTTTTTTTGTGCCGCTCTTTCGCTTTTAATTCGTAAATTCAAAAGTTCGGAAGCTGTTAATAATGTGGACAGGCGCACGACACGAAGTATTTCATTAGAGCAACACTAGACGCCATGGACGGCACTTGAACGGCACTCGTCATTGGCGCGCTCCTAATTCCATTTCCATTTAAATGCTTCATTTTTGGCTGGACAGCGCCACGCTTCAGACCAGGCCAAAGTGTTAAAAGCAATTACAGTGCGCGCCCGAGCAAATGAAAGAAAAACTAATTAAATCCTTTGTGCAACAAAGCGAGCGACGCGCAGCGCATTGCCAAATGAAACCAAAGTGTGGCACGCTTAATGCGATTGATATGTATATATATATACATCTATATACATATATATATATGTATGTATGCATGTATGCATGCATGTGTGATCGCTCAATGCTAATGCCAATGCTAATGCTAATGTTAGTTTTATAGACGAATGATTAACAGGTCGTCACTTATCTGTTATGCTTGACCCGGGTAAGCAGATGCTCCTCAACGGCTCAGATGCTATCACAATGGCTTTGCATAATGATGCGGTTGCTGCTGCTGCTGCTACTCCTGCTGCTGCTACTCCTGCTGCTGCTGCTCTAATGCCATGCAAATCTATGCCTTCGCCCAGTTGTCTGCAATGCGGCAAACCGGCTTCCAAAATATCGTTTCGGTTATGTAAATGCCAGCAGCGAATCAATATGCTTTCGTTTTCAGCATAAATGCCACATAAACGACATCCATCTAGATGTAAGTGTGCTTAAGTTATGCATTTGCATACCCTGTGCCCAGGAGCTGCTTGAAATCGGGTATGACAAGCTGCGCAAATCATATTACTAACTTTACCTAGTTCGCTTATCTCCATTAAGTGAAGTTTTCCATCTTCACTCACTTTTCCGGTATAGGTCAACCTTAAGTCGAGTACTTATTCATTAGAGTTAACAATGTCAAGCGAGAAAGATGAACAGAGAAGCACAGAAAACGAGAGAGAGAGAGAGAGAGAGAGAGAGAGAGAGAGAGGGGGGAGGGGAGCGACCTCTGTGACAGTTTGGCTCATAAATTGTAGTGTTGAAAAAGCGCCAAGTAGAGTTAAGTGGAAAGCGTGTTGGTCAGGTGCATTTGCCAGGTCAACTACTCTCTCTTTCTCTCACTCTCTCTCGCCTCGAGTTGCACTGATTTATGCCAATCACGATTCGCTAATAACTCAGTGGCTGCGACGAGAGCTGTTATTGTTGTTGTCATTGCGGTTGGAGCTGCTGTTGCCTCTGCTGTTGTTGTTGTTGCCACAGGTCCTGTCATAATGACAGTCATTTGAGGGTTAAATTGGATATGCCTCTTGCGTTGACAAGTCGGTCACGTGCGTCGCCCCAAAGAGGCGCACATAATTGACGTTTCATTAGCAGCATTTTTAAGCGCATTACCATGTAAATATCTATCAGTCATGTGCAGAGCAGAGCCTTGAAAAAGGAGCACAGTTTAAACCGAAAATTCCATAATTAACACAGGGTCACCTAATGCTGACGTGAATTCGGCTTGGTCAAGTCATAAAAACCCTTATTAGCTTTAATACACGCAGCGCATATCAAATTGAACTTGTTAATGTAGCCGGCCTATCCCACAAAACTGAACCACACACACACACATACGCACACGCGCATTGAGTCGAAATGAGGACAAATTTAATAAATGATCAAGGATTCAACAGCAATTTATGACATAATGATGTTTGAGTGGAACCAAATGAAATAGACACAAGGCTATATATACCTCTATCTCCCTCCCTCCTTCTTTCTCTATGTGTGTGTGTGGAAGCTCTTTATACCCTGCCCTTTGACCTATGACCATATTTTATGTAAATTACGGGATTATACTGTGATTTGGAACAACTTACAGCTGCTGGCCAGAAGCCATGTCTGGGACGACCTTCTCTAATGCATTTGCAGGCAAACAGCCTGTCTCAATTTGTGGCCCATCGCAGAGGTGTTGATGTGTGTGTGGGTGTGGCAGTTTGTAAAGCTTTTGCTATTAAATTGGACAGCAGTTCGTTATTTTTTTTTTTTTTCTTCATCTATTTTTTGTGTGGCCCCCAATGTGATTAATGGCTTGAAAACTTGTTTTCTAATTATTTAACACCCAGCAACTACGACAATTAATTATGTGGCTCAACAATAAAAGTTCTGGCCGACATTGTGGGCGACGCAGACACAAATACAGCCATTGCACCAACGACAACAACAACAGCAACAACAACAACAACAACTAAGGCAACAGTAAATTTTATTGTTCGCACTCACATGGACAACGCACACAATTTGTCCCTCGGGGGGACACAATTTGGTGTACTATTTCCTATGTTTATTTTTTGCGAAGCAACCAAAATGAAATTGTTGAATTTGCCAAGCACACACATGCATACACATACACATAGATATATGCGATATATATATGTGTGTGTGTGTATATGCCTGCCATGCGTATGCGTTAATTGTTTTTATTGCCAACACACACACACACACACACACACACACACACACACACATATATATATATATACACACTCACATTTGCACATGGTCATTGGCATTCACATACATTAAAAACTTTTTAATTAAACACAATTGTGACAATTTATTTAAACGGGCTCAATGCATATTGCATTTAGCCGAACGCATTTAGTTGATTTTAATGTCAAGCAGCGCCGCAAGCCGAAATAAAAAGCGTCAAAACAAACAATAAAAGCAAAAGAGCCAACAAATCCAGAAAAGTGCGTGACGCCAGAAAGCCAAAGGCCAAGTGGAGCCAGCCATGGCAGTCGCAAAAAAAGAAATCTGCTTAAAACAATTACATTTCAGCATAATTGGCTTTAATTGCTGGCAGCGCCCACAGAGAGCGAAGCCTGAGCGCCTCGACTGAGGGTCATAATGGCATCTATCAGTGGGGGCGTCAGTCGAGAAGTCGTCGAGGGCCGTTCAGAGGCGAGAATACGGAAACGGAAACAAGCAATTTTGCGGCAAAGTTACGAGTGCCACAGACAACAGCAGCAACAGCAACAACAACAACAACAGCAACATCAACATCAAGAATATAAAGCTGTGCCACAACAATAAGCCAGACAACAACAATAACAACAACAACCACCGCCACAGCCGCAGAGTAAAGTAAAACTGAGCTAGGGATGCTCATTAAACTGTATAAATAGGATGAAGGCAGGAAGAGGGGCAGCAGGAGCAGGAAGTGTGGCAGAACAACCTAAAAAGTGTTGCAAACTTTTGCGTTAGTGTTGCACAGTCAACTTGGTTAGAGAGTGTTGCAAATGTTTGCGGCTAGTTTGCTGGCCAATCGGTCAACAAGCCAAAGCCAAGAACCAAAACTTAATCGCCTCAGCTCAACTTTAGTGCATAAGCCATCGGCGTTAATTGATTAGGAATCACGGCCTAATCAAATACCGTAAATCGTTTAACAGCCGCACTAAGCTGACCAGCTGATAGATGTATGTATATACATACACACATACATATATATGTGTGTGCTATGTGGAGACAACGCTTGGCTGATGGCAGCTGCTAATTAGAAATGTGTAGAAAATTTGAAGAGGAAACACAGCTAAACTTAACAGACAGTCCCGGCGGAACGGTTGCGGAATGCTGCGCGTTCATTGTTCGGGCTTAAATAGCTGCAGCTCATAATGAGCCAGACCCAGAGGAGCTCTGGCCTCCCTCTCTCTCTCTCAGTCTCTCCCTCTCTCTCTCGCTCTCTTTGCCACTCCCCCACTATATTGCAGCTTAAGAGGGCAACGCATTGTGGCAAGTTGAACACTTTGTGGTGCGCCGGCGTCTTTTTGTCTAGTCGTGCCTCATTGTTGGCTGCATAAATGTTTAGCTCAAGCAGCGTTAATTAATTGTTTAAGTACTTCACCCTCCACTGGCGGCACACTGGCAGCTATTCTGGCCAACGTGGCGTATACGAAACTCCACACACTCACACACACACACAGACATCTGTCTAGTAAATTACTTTCGCACACTTACAAGTGTCATCATTCTGTGTGGCATGTTGTTTCCCATTGCCCAAATGAGACCACATAAACTGCACTCGCAGTTTGTCAGCGCCACGCTCCAACAGCAACAACAACAACAGCAAACAATAGCAACAATGCATTGTGCATTTCAATGAAACTCATTTAGATATAAATGTGTGTGCATATATGACATCGTAAAGCCGCCAAAGCCAACACCAGTCGACGTATATTTACTTTTTGTGTTACTCAAATTAAGTTTTATATTGGATACTAAATGGAATATTAGAAACGAAGCAAGGTAGGAGGGGGTATAATGGAGATATGATAAATAGATTTGCTGTCTCTTTTTGTACTCTGGTTAAAGATAGCAATATCTAAGGCATAACTTCAAGAGATGATCTAGAGAAGTAAACTATATACATATCAGCTTCGACTAGCCTTATAAATATGCAATTTATGCTACGATTAAATAATGTTTCTTCTCAACTAATGGGGCATCTGCATTTCGCTTTTCCATTATACAACTTTGAGTGAAATTTCATCAACTGTTTATTACTCAACTATCAAGTAGCTCCATAGCCATTTCGCCTCCAAAGGAGATAAAAGCACGAACAGCTGCCAACTGCATCAATCAAGACAGATCAAGATATGCACAACGCATACATATTCAAGCAGACTTTAACAATTTCTTTATTTGTTTCACATTTTTCCGTAGCAGCTCCATTTGTTTGCATTCACTCAGAGATGAGTGCTTGATGTCTGCTTAATTGCAACAATATCCGTTTACTTAGACTGTTTACTTGGTCTTTGTGCTGCAGCACTGCTCCTTGGTGCCCGTTTTGCAGACGCACTTGCAGTCCTGATTGCACGCGCAGTTGTCGCCGCACTTGGCGTCGGTGCACTTGCAGTCTGGGCAGGTGTGATAATCCATGGCCATCAATGAGTGTAAGGTGAAAATCATATTTATTTCCTCTATTTTGTATACTCACTTGTGCCACAGCCCTTGCAAACCATTTTCGAGTTGAAGAGAGTTAAAAGTATTGCAAAGTATTTCGGATTTCTTCCTTAAGAATTTACTGGCTTTTACAACAATTTCACTGAACTTATTTATAGCTGGCGTTGGTTGGCCGAGTGCCGAGTGCCGAGCGCCGAGTGAAGTATTTTTGCACTCAGTTGAATATTCATGCTATCGGCGTGTGCAAAATCAACAAAAACGTGTGCAATGCAATTCGATGCGAGCTCACCTCAATCAGTCAACAAAAGATAAGAAGAATGCGATAAGAATGCCGTGAGCTGTTGGCTCGAGTCAGTCCATCAGTCCATCACTCAGTCAGTCAGTCAGTCGGACACTCTCTTATACAGTGGGTAAGCCAAAGTGTGGTTGTCCTAATTATGACATCATCATAATTGCCTTGGCCCACTCAAATGCTGTCCCAATATTAGGCGTCGGTGGTGGCGCGCTTAGTGGGAGTGAAATTACCGCAAATTGCGAAAGTTTTTAATTGTTTATCTCGCCAGACGCTGTGGCTGTAGCTGTAGCAGTGCCCGCAACATTAGTGCAACATGGCAGCCGTGGAGGGGCAGGATACGCTGCTGCGGCATTGTCCTTGCCGCAATCACAAAACAGAAATCTTCTCGAGCGGATGTTTTGTAATTTTGCTTGTGCTTGTGCCTTGAGTGGGCTGCCGCTGGATGAGGTCAAATTATTAATTTAATATGTATCCGCCGCGCCGCTCGGACTTCGACTTCCGCTGTGACTGTGGCAGCAGCCGCAACAACTCCTTTGGCCAGCTCAAATTTGTTGTTTGAAAAGTTGGCGGGCGGGCCTGCAGCCTTTCGCAGCGTCCTCGACCCGACCTGTGGCACAGTTGCCACAAACTTTGCACCATTTCCGCTGCGGCACGGCCCACTTCCGCGTGTCCACTTGCAGTGCCAGCTGCCCCACTGTCCCACCGTCCCGCCCACCAGCCTGATTAACGTTTAAACTCATTAAGATAACGCAATTTTTGGCGTTCTGCTTAATTTTGCTGTCGCAGCTGCCACCATCACAGCCAGAGCGGACCGTGCCAAAGGTCAGCGAGTTGGAAATCTGAAAGCTTGAATCTTGAATCTTGAATCTGTTGCCATTGTCTGGCGCTCGCTAGTAATTGGTTTGTAAACAATTTCGCTTGCCCTTTGACAATTTGCTCGGCCATTTTGTTGTTTGGCTAATTGCAAGAGCCGAGCCACTCGAGCCACTTCGAGGCATCTTAGCCAAAATAAAATACCCCAAAATGTAATTTCAAATTGGCCCTAGCCGAGTGCCACTTAAAGTGCTGCCATTATGGACCATTAGATCTATTTATCATATGTTCACGCTCAATTACGGCCTGTGGCGGGCAGTTCTTTGATAACAGGCCGCTTCAATAATTACCCTGACCAGGCCCAGCTCGGTCCGCAGCAGCTTGGCTAACTATGTTTACATGCCAATCAGCTCGCAATTGCGATTTATCGGCGAGTTTGTTTATGTGTCCAAATATTTATTTATCCCCCATGTCGCAATGCATTATTTCCATGTGATTTATGGACTAATACTAAATGGACTAGTGCCAAAGCTGTTGTGAAATGTGTTATATAGTTACATATATGGCACATAGATATGAGCAGCTCAATTTAAGCGCGCAGCGGCAAAAATAGATGAGTCCTTGCTAAAGCACATTATCTAATTGTAGCTATTGAGCATTAACTGCGAATACTGGCACGAATTAAGAGCCCCGAATGCTCATTAAGTTTACGCACGGATTGTTGGCCCAAATACGGGTTAGTTAGTCTGCCAAAAATAGGCAAAATCGCAACAACTGTCCAGTTATCAACGCAATTCATATTCCAAATTCCATGAAAGCACTAAAACAATTTCAATTGTACAACTCATCAACGGGCTGGGGGACACACTTGCAGCGCTGGGAATGGGGTCCGTCATGTGGTCAAACAACCGACTAGCCAACAACAACAAGAACAACAGCAGCAGCAGCAGCAGCAGCGGCAACAACGACAAAGGATAAACGACAAGCCTGATGGAACTTCACGCATAAACCGAAAAATAGGAAAATGTTGAGCGACATCGCACTGGAACAGCTGCTGCCCGGCTCAGTTGTGGTTGCAGTTCATGGCAACGATTCCCAGCGTACACTGAAATCCTTCACACACACACACACACACACACACGGGCTTGCACACAGTCACACGCTCACACAATGACACACTTGCGCACACATGCACGCATAGGCATGTAACGGTCCCAAAAATGTTCTGCAATATGCGTCGAGGGGAAAATTCATCATAAATTTTATGCGGCAGCATGGGAGCCAAAGCTAAACGCAAACTTTTCATATGCTGCTCAAAAAGTGTCGCAACTGCTGCCAGAGATTCGCATACCCTGTAAACATAGAATGTGTAGATTGGGCAGCAGAACGAAGCTGGATAGGAATAGTAGAGCTGCAAAGCCGGCAATAGACTTGACTGGTGTAATCTGCAATTTGTGAATTATAGTTTGTCGTTTTTGCTTTCAATAAAATATATAATTAACATATACAATAATAATATTAATATCCAAAAAATATTAAGATTTAACTTAATAACTGATTTATATAAAAAGTGTATATCGAGCCATATAAACTGATTTTATATTTATTTATAAATTTATAAAAATGTATTTATTTAGTCTGTAAGAAATTTTAAAAATAAAACACAATGAAGAAGAGAATCTTCTAATTAACATCCTCGCAATTCCTTACAAGCATTGTATCAGCCATGAAAATTGAGAAAATTATCCAAAGAACTATCGCAAAAGTTAATATCAGTCAATACTATCGCAACAAGCATTGATAAGATAAGAGAAAGATGGCAATGGACACCATCAGCTCAATCAACTCTTTTCAGACTTAGACTATACTTTAAATGCATTAAGGGATATCTGCTAGTCGAGCGTATACTCACCATATACATATATATGTAGCAATATTGCAATTCGCCGCAATTCGAAACGGGCTGATGTCAAATGTAAATTGCTCAAAGAAATGATGGCAATATAACTAACAGTTTGGAACGCAAACCCAAAAAGGATTTGTTTGCCAGCAACGTTGTTAATCCAATTTGTGATTTGCATAGAAGCCAAAACGAGAATAACTGTTGTTTTACAAGCACCAAACGCAAACGCAAACGGCCAACAGCGCACAGCTTACTGCCAGCTTTGGGCCAGCTTTGAGCCAGCTGTGCAATTTCTTGGAGGTCAAGTGTCAGTTGTCGAGGACGCTCCGCATTCCAACTACTTATGCACAGAGCTGCGCTGCCTCGGCTCGAGCACATTTTATGACAATCACAAGTTCTCGTGCCAGGCTCCATCATGATTATTTGCCATTGGCAACATGATGCTCTCGCTCGATGGCATATTTGTCAGTATTAAGCCGGCAATTGGCTCTGTCGTCGAGTGCCATCAATTGAAATTGCATCGTATCAAAAGTTATAAGTTTTCATTACGCGCTGGCGTTCAATATGGCGCGCAACTAATACATCAGCCAACATACACACACACATATACATACATAGAGTGACGCACAAAAGTTTGTCAGCAAATGACATGCATTGACGACGACGATGACTCTAAGGATCGCGCAAAAAAGTATGCAACACTTGACGACGCAGCCAATGTCACAATTATCTAGAGCCAAGCGGGCTGCGAGGTGTGACATATACTATGTATATATATATATACTATCTATATATATATTGCCACAGCTTAACGTTTGATGGCGCGGTGGCTGGTTGGCTGACACAGGAAATCACTAGAGCAAGTTTTTTAATGGAATCAAATCAAATTGTTCGGAAGCTGTAAAAAGCGATTGCACGGAAACATTTTGAGTTGTTGACAGGCGACAACCGCCAAGGTGCAAACACGCCCAACAAAAAACTTGCCAAAGTTTCGAAAACGACTATGACCGACAACAACAACAACAACAAAGGCGAAAAGTAGAGAGAGAGAGAGAAAAAGTAGAAGGAAACGCGTCATAAGTACATGCTCGAGTCCTGACAGCAGTCACACGACCCCAACGTCAATGGAGCGTCAAGAGTGCTTCTACTCTGCCGGGCTGCGTCTCTGCCTCTCTGCCGCGCCCACTTTAAAGGCAGCGACACTTTTTAGTGGCAGCTGTGATTGGGCCAGGTGAGCAAAAGTTGTGCCAACACTCGTCGCTTGGCTCGGATCGTTTATAGGGCCCATAAGTTGACGCTCGCCCGCTGCACTTTGCCAACTTGACTGCAAGGCCATAAAAATATACCATAAAGCCTGTCGCCCAAGCTGCTTCCGGGCCACTCAAAGAGCCGTTAATCAACTGAGGCAGCCAGCTGGCAAGCCAGCACTAGCTGGCGGTCCAGCTAATAATTCTTGTTGACACCCGAGTAAGTTATGCCCATTGAACTTGAGCAGCTGCAAATTAAGCCAATCAATTCATTAGCAGCTCCCGTCTCGCACCTCGCACCACTCCACACGCCACGCACTGCGTCCTTGCCGTTGTCCCCATTGGCAACTTTGAGTGCCACTCGCGCTGCTGCGCATGAAAATTAAATTGTCGCCTACAATGGCAAACAAATTTCGCTCAAATGCAATCCAAATTGCAACAGACACTGTCACACGAACTGAACGAGAGAGGGTGTTGGCGGGGGCAAGTGGTGCAGCACCCGCAGCGCATTACCTTTGTCTTAGCTCGTGGCTTGCAGATTAATTGCCAATGAGTGTGTACAAGTTCGAGTAGAAAAGTTTTTCAGAGTTTTCCCTGTTCAGTCGATTGTTCCGTTACACTTCCCCCTGCCCCTTGCGCTTACCTTTGTACAGTCCTTGTCTCTGCTGGTCTCCACAGCTCGGATTCGCTCCATGTGACATCCGAACGGGGACCACGTGCATTTTATCTCTGCTCCGAACTCAACACAATTCGAGGTTTTTGAGGTGAAACAAATTTCCGGTGACATAAACTTAATTAGCTTTTGTTCGGGCTTTTGTTTTATGGTTTTGCGGGCACAACTCAACTTGGTGTGCGTGAGTCTGTG